ATATATTTGTTAATTTTAACCAAATAATAACCAGATGTTAATCCAGGTCCGCACAAATTTATGTTAAGTTTACAACCAACTGTAATCTGTTAACTAATTGAATAAGTAACAAACATTTTATAGATTTAATAACAAAATCCTATATTAATAATTCAACCATAATTCTTGTATACAATTATAATTTTCAAAAAGGACCTTATTTTTAAAAACGTTTTTGTAGACCCAGTTAACAAAGTATTTGTTGGAAATTGGGAACTTAAATAAAAAGAAATTTGATAAGAAATGTTGCTTTATTAATTAATTTCCTAAACAAAAAAATTAATACATACCTACATAAATGAAGATAATATTATAAACAATACAGACAATTAAATAACACACCATTCCGAAATCATCAACCTATAATGAAATTTAGTACAAAATAATTATCAGTACTACTACAACACTTACTGATGAATTTAGTAACTTTGACCCACTTCACTGTATCCTCATATTTCAGTTTGAAAACCAGTGATGACATCTTTCTTCGCACTTCACACTCCCGTTAAATAGGTATAAGGAATCCGAATAACAATAATAACAGATTTATGGTAATATATTATTAACACTCTGGGCAGTTGTTACGAACACGTTATGAATTAGAATAAAGTAATCTTAAACATAAGTTGCAGACGCTGAAGTTAGTTGAACTTCTTGATGCGTATTTTTAGTGGAAAATGTTTTGATTGACTTCCTTAAATCACGTGTACTTTTTCAACGAAATAATTTGTCAAACATAATTAACAAAATAATCTGTAACCTTTGAAATTAACAAAATGCTTACAAAATTACATTTTAACATTACAAAACTTTCGGTAAAATTTTGATTTTTACAAGAGTGTATAGACAACTAGGGGAAGAAGCTTTATTTTTTAATTTTTCGATGCACCACCCTATATTATAAACGTGTATAGGCAAGAACTTAAAGACTTTTACGATTAGGTTTAAGTCTTGACAACGTTTTTATAAATGTATCAGGCAATATAGGTAAAAATACCAATACAAAAATTATGGAAACGTGGAATTCAATTCCAGACACCTCTAGTTGTCTGAATAAGCTAACTTGTTCATTATTAACATCTTCATTCTTCAAAAACGGGCGATACGATGTATGTTCTGTTTTAAAATGAGAGACTAGTGCAAAAATATCTTTATTAGGCACAACATACTATCCATAATATAATAATAATATAATATAACATAATATCCATCATTGTATATTTTCGAAATGCTTAAGTTTATTAAATTAAGTTTAAGTTTTAAAATGTACACCACAATTATGGTACACGCAGAGGTAAGGAATTACAATTTGCTGTATTTTATCTGTATTTTATAGTAAACTTTCATTTTTGATTAGAGACTTACCAACTTCAAGTTATTTATGTCAAATTACAAACATTCTTATTGATAATGCATTTTAGTAAATGATTATTTGCAGTCATATTTGACTGATTATAAAATATTGTACTTTCTGTATTTAGTTAAGCTCTATTGTATGTTGTATTTTCTTAATGGTCTCGGAAATGTAATGTAGTTTTTTGTTCTTGACTTGTCCTATATCGTGATCTGATCTACTGGATGAATAAAGATATTATTATTATTATTATTAGTATTATTATTTTAATCAACCTATGCCTGCCTATGCCTGCCTGTCATGCCTGTCTTCATTTTTAGTAATGGACAATATAAAAGACTATCTTAGAAACCATTTGACGTCCAGTCCAGTTCAGCATGCACTCTGCTAAAGGTAACTAAGTATTAACCTAATGTCACTTTGTTAGCGTTCAGTTTGCAACAGCAAAAGTCGCACTAATTTCCCCCTAAATAAAAATAATACTTAATATAGTATTTAGTTTTAATGTTCCTTATAAATCACTATTAAACTTTTCTTTACAAAAAATGGCACGAAGATCAATAAAGGTTTGCCATCCCTGGTGTACACTTTCAATTTTGGCGAATGCGCGGGGTTAAATCAACCTTATTTTAATATAATATTATTTTATTACCTATATTAAAATAAGGTATAATACTACACTGTACTACCAGCGTTACCAAATTCTTTAAAAAAAGTTATGGATTTGTGTAAATTTACCTTAACTGGAAAAATAACACTATCCAACAATAATTAAGTAACTTCAAATTGAAATTTTTTCTAGTTGCGGTAAATTTACACAAATCTATTACTTTTTTTGTCAGATTCTGGTAACGCTGTGTACTACGCTTCAAATAAATTTTAAGATCTTTTAATCAAATTTAAGATAAACAAATTCGCCACCTATAATTTTAGTAAAAATTATTTTATTACTTAAATACAAAAATACAAAAGTATGAAATAGTTTCTAAATGCCAATATTTAAAATGTTTAAATGCACGTTGTGCGTTGGGCATGTGACATTTTGCCCGGCGCGTCGGTAATAGAGATTCCCAAGTTTTTGGGAATTTTTATTGTTTTATAGATGTCGCTCTAAATATTTAATTTAAATCACTTTTAGTTAATAATAGGTATTTGTTGTAGAAAAAGTATAGTATGCAATTCGTTTATAAACTTTTCTAGACACTCATTTAATTAAACACTTGCTCGCAAGCTAGCAAGCTCGCTCGAGCTTGAGCGTAAATAAAATTCGTGACTAAAATGGCGTTTATTAAACCTGGCTGAGGTTGGCTTTTTAGCCACCTGACTAATATACTATCTACGACCACTATGTAAAACGCCAATTTTGTACAACTGACAACCTAAGTAAACGCCACTTTACGCAGTGTTGTGTAATACTGAAAAATCGCAGTTAGGTAATTTCATGGGATTAAGTTGTGGTTTCTATAGTTACATAACAGTTGTGCTAGGAAATGTTTGATTGTTGGATATAATAATCATATAATTATATTAAGAGCAATATGGTGATAAAATTAAGTAAATAAATGTCGAATTTATAAAATTAAAAACTCAGTCTTTAATCAATCTATGACTTATGTCAGTGATAAACCGGTTTTAAGCTTTTTTAATGAATACAACAGTTGTGGTAAATGTTATGTTACAGTTATTGATTGTAACATAACATTTATTGCCAGTACACGTGAGTAACAACCTGTAGAACGTTGTTTATTTTAAAATGTGGCGTAAACGCCATCTACATTTAAACGGCTTTACTATAACCAAACGTAGAAATGTATTGGTAGCTCCCTACTATTATATTTTTATGATTTCTGCTTATGACAGGTATCTACTGAAACAAATTGTAATAAAAGTTTTAAAGTTTTCTAGTTAATAACTAATAATACTATAAGAAAATAAATATAGTTTTAATATTTGATATATGTGTGCTTTTAAAATATACACTCTAAATACACTATCTAAATACATTAAAATACTAAAATACTTACCTACCATTAAATGATTGAACACATTAAATTGATGAATAGAGTACAATGAGTAACTAAACTATTTGTAAGCGCCTTCTCTTGTCGTATCATACGACTCATATAAACAGAATACTTTAAAAATAAATATTATAAATCCACAACGTTGATTGTATCAACATTTAGACAAAATCTACCTATTTTTAGTCGCATGATCCGAATCTTCAATAAAAAATAGGCTGAAAATTTTAAAGTACCCTTCCTATAATGATGAGATAATGGGGAATAATTTTGGTACTAATTTATTTCCCCCCTCAAATCATTTAATTTTTTTTTTCATAAAATGCCTATTTTCTGAGATATTTTAAGTTTTAAGTTAAAAGAATCACTCTGTATATATTGTCCTTACTGATATATATTTTTTTAGAAACACGCGAGCAAAGCCGCGGGTATATAACAAGATAAAGGTATAACTTTATTTAGTTTTAAAATCTGTCAAGTCCGTTGTTCTTCAATAAAATTACTTACCTACTTAACTACAGGGAAAAGGGCAAAATACCAAAATTTAGTAGTACTTCTTTAAATTAATATCACTTTAAATTATTATTCTTTGCATTATTTCTAAACATATTCTGGCAAAACAATATTCATTTCCAATTCAAGTTAATTGAGGAGCATCCGTGCAAAACCGGCTAAATCCATTTTATTCAGTTTTTGTTTTTTTTTTGATTTCGCATCTTTGGGTATATTTCTATCGACAACCAAGATAATTCTGTTTAAATCCGACTCTATCCATGTTAAAATCACATTTAAAAGGTAGCTTTAGGAGCAAAACCGGCCAAATCCACGTTTTTATAGCAAACCCGTCTATATCCCATAAATAATAATGATGATGAGCATGTGGCTTGGATATGTTGATACTACTACTAAAATTTGTTCTGTTTTTTCATGTTTGCACTAAATTTATTTTGTTAATATTTTTGAATAATAAAGGTTTTTTTTCACATTTTATTCGGTTTTTGAGCAAAACCGGCTCACAGCTTCCTAAAGTTAAAGTTTCAAGAAAAAAAATATAGATTCTTTTAATTTGCGTTTTTTATAATCTACACAATAGCCCCTATTAACAAAACGCATTTTTAAAATCGTCTATGTGGAATTAGGTGTACAGTCGACCGAGATACAATTGATAATAAGAAAACAGTATTTTTTTTATTGATTTAATAATTAAAATTTTTTTTAACTATGTAATTTCATGAGAAAATTGCTGTAGAGAGAAAGGGACCATTGACCCCCCCTCCCCCTGCAACCTTCTTATTGTAAAAAGTACATTTTTATCCTTTATAAATTCCATCATACGCGTGAATTCCTGCTTCTAATATTAAAAAAGTTAACCAAAGTTGGCCATGACTGGTGTCAATGTCAATTCCTGTTCATGTCATTTTTCTTTCGTGTGAATAGTATTTTTGGTTGTTATCAACTTTTTTTAAAATGGTTAAATTACATTCTCACGAAGAATGCAGACGTTCGGTTTGCTTTTGTTGTTTTAATAAAGCCCTGTATGCCAACATGACTTGGATGAATCTGTTAGTGAGGTTAGAATACGCCAAATGGAGAAACAAATGTATGAAAAAGAAATCGGATCATTGAACCGAATTATAAAAGAACTGGAGGAAAAAAACAAATTATTATCTGAAAATTGCGAGTTACTAAGGGAGAAAGTGAAAAGTCTTGAAAAAAATCCAATGGATAAAGAAAAAAAGAACGTGGAAAAAAACAAACAAGTTCATAGTTCCTCTTCTTCTTCTACTGTGGCAGTCAACAGCCACAAGGAGATAGTCTCGAAAGAAATAAACAAACAAGAAACCACTGTTACCAATCTAGAAACAAAAGATGATACATCAGAACTACAGATGTCAAACGAAAGTAGTTCAGATGAAACTTGGTCACAAGTAGTCAAAAAGAAAAACAAAACAAAGAATATAACCAATAGACCAGAACCCCTAAAGGGCTGTAACGAGGAAATAACATTAAAAACGGCAAGTAAAATGTCTTTTCTTTTTCTTTCGGGGCTTGCCCCGGAAATTCAGCCTCAGCATATAATTGAATTTCTTAAGACAAAAAACTTAGAAGATCAATGTACCTGCGAGAAAATGAAGACAAAAAAAGAAAAATATCGTAGTTCTTTTAAACTCATAGTGCCCTTTGAGAAGAGAGAAGAGTTCCTTAATGCCAAACTATGGCCAAAAGGGGCTATAATTAACCATTTTTTAAACCTCCAGAACCGGATAAAGGTGCAAACAAAAAGCCAAGTTGTACTCCCAGCTACACCACAATCAGTGATCTAAATATTTTACACATAAATGTCAGATCGCTTCGAAATAAGGTAGGACAGTTAGAAGCCTTTTTGGCAGACAAAAACATTAATATTGTCTGTATTACGGAGCATTGGATGGAAGAGGAAGAAATTCAACATCTAAATATCGAAGGATATAGAATCTCAGCCTACTGTTGCAGAAAAAACTTCAAAGGAGGTGGAGCCCTGATTCTAACCCAAAAATCAATAGTGTCTAGTAGTGTTGACTTTATTTGTGATTTTAATGTTGAAAAGACTTTAGAAGTTTGTGGAATTTATTTAGATAAGTTTAATATTTATGTTTTAGCATTGTACAGAGCTCCTATGGGAAATCTTGACACGTTTTTAGGCTTAATGGATTCAATCCTTAAAAAATTATTCAAAATTAAAAATCACAAGATCATTTTAGGTGGTGATTTTAATGTGCACTTTGGTACGCAACAACATGATGCTGTGAAAACGGTTGATCTGATGGAAAGTTTTGGTCTGAATCAAACCATTTTTAATCATACTAGATATAATGCTTGTTTGGATAATATCTTTGTGAGTGATGTTTGTGATACACAAGTAATAAACCCAAATATGTCTGACCATCTAGGTCAGCTAATTCAAATTAAAATCATAACTGGTAACACCAATTTCTTTACTAAAAGTGTATTTAGACCAATAACACAGATGGGGCGATTTTATTTCTATGAAATGATATCAAATTATGACTTTGATCATATTTTTTCCAGAAACACCAATGCTGATAAAAAATTCACGGATTTCATGGATGTGTTGAAGTCTGCCTTCTTGGGAGCCTTCAAAGAAAGGTCCTATATCGCAAAAAACAACCAAAACAAAGTTGGCTGGTTTAATAACAATTTAAGGTTAATGAGAGATCACTTGGACTTCTTACGGGAACTAAGTGATAGAGACTCGGGTTTTTCACAGGACTATAGGAGATTTAAGCTGCAATATAAAAAAGCAATCCAGAATGCTAAAATAAATTCAAATGAAAATATTATTAAATCTTCAAACAATCCATCTAAATCTATGTGGCAAATTATTAATAACCATCGAGGAATAAAACAAAATATAGAAAAAAATAACCTGTTGCCAAATGATTTTAATGAATACTTCTGCAACATTGCGGTAAATATTGCAAGTGAAATGTCAGATGCAACTGTGGACCCTGTGAGAAACCTAGATTCTCTGCCGCCCCCAAATTAAGTGTTCTCATTTCAAGAAATAACATTTTGCGATGTAAGAGATATTATTGATAAATTAAAAAATAAAAATAGCTGTGACATACATGGCCTAAATATTAAATTGATAAAAACCATTAAAAATATAATCATAATACCTCTTACAAAGCTTATTAACCTATGTTTTAGAGAGGGTACTTTTCCGAGGGTTCTTAAGAAGGCAGTAGTGGTTCCAATATATAAAAAGGGAGATATTAACAAACCTGAGAACTATAGACCGATTTCCTTGCTGCCGGTAGTCTCAAAGATCTTAGAGAAATGTATGGCTAAACAAATTACATGTTTTTTGGAAAGAAATCACATGTTTACTGAGAGTCAATTTGGGTTCAGAAGGGGAAGAAACACAGTTCAGGGTGTGCTAGATCTAATAACAAATATTCAAAATTCTTTTCAAAACATGAAATTTAACTCTGTTCTATTCTGCGACTTGAGCAAGGCATTCGATTGTGTTGACCATAACATTCTTATTAAAAAGCTTGATTACTATAATTTTAACAAAAACAGCATAAAGCTCATTCAATCTTATCTCCATGATAGAAGTCAGGTGGTGAGAGTCGGTGGCGTGTCGTCAGCAGAGAGAAATATCACAATTGGAGTCCCCCAAGGATCCATCTTGGGACCATTACTATTTTTAATATTCATCAATGACTTGCCTATCAGCGATCTAGATACTAGTTTTACTCTCTTTGCTGACGACACGACACTGTCTCTCAGCGCAGACACTCAGCATGATGCAGAAGTCAAGATGTCAATTGCTCAAGTCAAGGCTGAAAACTGGTTTAGGGCAAACAAACTCTTACTAAACAAGGAAAAGACCTGCAAAATGATCTTTTCCATGCGAAAATTTGAAGAAGACGTGGAAAAAAATAAGTTTTTGGGAGTATATCTTGATCCTACCCTGCTGTGGGATCATCATATAAATTATATTGCCACTAAGCTTGGTAGGAGTTTGTTTGTCCTGAGAAATCTTATGAACTGTGTTTCTATAGATGTGCTAAAAAGTGCATATTTTTCACTCTTTCAAAGCCACCTTTCGTATGCAATTTTAGCCTGGGGCCATGCACCCCAGTGTGAGAGGATATTTTGTATCCAGAGAAAGGCAGTGAGACTATTGGCAGGCTTGGGATTTCGGGATGATTGTCGGCAAGCGTTCCGGAGCCTGAATCTCCTAACGGTCCCATCTCTGTATATTTATGAATGTCTTGTTTATATGCACAAAAACATTTCTCATTATTCAATTCATAGTGACTTTCACCAATATAACACAAGGATGAAAAACAACGTCGCACCATTACATTGTCGCCTAAAAAGGTGCCAAGATGGACCAAACTACTGGGGCGTAAAATTTTATAATGTCCTCCCAGCACAGATTAAAATTTTAAATGAGAATGGCTTTAAAAAGGCTGTGAAATTAATTTTAACTAAGAATATTATTTACACCAAAAATGAGTACCTGAATCTATTTAAAAATAGCTCTGTCCCATAAATGTATCTATGTTTTATTTTAACTTTTAATGTTTAGTATTATATCTAAGTGTATATTTTAATATTTTAACTGCTACTACTATGTATTTTTTGACTTATGTACACGCTTCTGTGTTATAACATCAATAAATTATTATTATTATTATTATTATTATTATTAAAAAAAACTATAAAATTAGTGATAAGCTGTTACTATTATTGAAAAACAAAGGCGTCAGTTTTGATCAATATGATCCGTGTAAGCCTGCTGTTTTATGCAGCGGATGCTATATTAAACTGAATCAAGGAAGCTTGGATGAAATTGTGGATTATACAAAATTAAAAAATTTTGTTCATCCTAACAGCACGCGCCAGGACTCTGATTGCCAATGCAAAATATGCCAAGTTGCCAGGTTCAGGTACGTTCTAAGATTTTTGCTTTTTATGTATAAAATGCCTTATATTTGTATAATGTTAAGTTATTTTTTGTAGGTTTAATCCAAAGGGGCCCAGAAAATTGCCTTTTAAATTTACTTTAAAAAAGCTTGCTGTGGGGAGACCTTTAAAGCATAACAACAAAATTAAAAAGGATACCATTAAAGTGTGCTCTATTTGCACAGGTATAGTCAAACGTGGATTAAAACACATTTGTACCGTTTCAAAAAAAATAGAAAATATCGCTGGTTTAGCAAAAAATTGTAAACAACAAGTAGCAAGTACGATAATCTTAAAGGAAGAGCTTGAGCAAGGCGATTCTTCTATTTCTTTAAATAAAGGTAGAGGCTGTCACATGCAAATTAACGTTTTGCGCAAAGCGAATACAAAAGCTAATCCTGTAATCACATCTACCACCCTTAGGGAAATGCAAATTGATTGCAATCTTCCGGTGAGCAGTGTTAAAAAAATTGTCAGTACTCTGCGCAACGTAGACAAGCATTTGGTTGAAAAACAAGCAATTCCGAAGATCCAGGAATGTTCACATGTACTCGACCAGTATTTTGATGGCATGTTTTTGCCAAATGTGGAATTATCCAAAAAACAATTTGGTTTGTCACCATTTGTATACTGCAATAATTTATCACAACTGGTAGCATACATACTGGATAAACGTATCTTAGATGAAAATTTCCATCTTAAAATTGGTATAGATGGTGGGGCGGGTTCCCTGAAGATATGCCTTAACATTTTGTCAGATGGTGAAAATAGTGTAGATGGTGCTACAGAAAAATCAAAAAATTCAGGCATAAAAAAATTAATAATTATCGGTTTAGGTCCCAAAATGATAGAATCTTATCACAATATAAAATATTTAATGGAAACTATTGATATACATACAATTATAGGACTTTGTCCATATACGTTTGCATCAGATTTTAAATTAATTATGATGATACTTAGCTTACAATCAAATTCCTCTGCCCATCCATGTCCTTGGTGTGATGTGAGTTGCACAAATCTGGAATCTAAGGGCATCAGTCGTACCATTCATACCATAACCGACCAGTATCAGCAATGGCAGTCCAATACAAATGGGGATATTGCCAAAGCAAAATACTATGGTGAGACTACTAACTGCTTTGTTACTACAATTTTTGTCATGTTATTCAAATTTCCATAACAAAACATCACCTTAATTAAATTTTTAGGCAATTGCACGAATATTCCGCTTATTGTTGGAAATGAGCATGAACCAGTTTTAAAATATATCCCCCCACCCGAGCTGCACCTGCTTCTGGGAGTGGTACAAAAAATTTTTGATCTGCTTAAGACTGAGATACCAGAAAAATGTGAAGAGTGGTTGGAACTTGCTAAATTGCATTTAGATCACCGCCAGCAATTCAACGGCAATAGAGCCAGAAAACTGCTTAAAAATGTTTCCATCTTAGAAGAACTGGTTCCAGGTATTGTTTAAGTTTGTTGTTTTTTATTTTATTGAATTTCAAGATCTCTTGCGATGGTTTCACGTACTACTTTTGTTTTTAGGAAATAAGTATATAGAAGTACTCAGGACTTTCGATAGAGTAGTGTCCAGCTGCTTTTCCAATAGCTTGGATGCGAATTATGTCATTTATATTTCTAAATTTGAAAGAAAATGTCGAGAAGCAGGCATAAAATTTACTCCAAAAATTCACGCCGTAGTACACCATGTTGAGGATTTCATTAAAATGACAAATAAGCCACTGGGATTCTTCTCTGAGCAAGCATCAGAACAAGTTCACCATTCATTTAAAGTATTTTCCCAAAATTATACGCTTAGTCCCAAGTCTGAAAATTATTTAAAAAATTTAAAACGTTGTATTTGTGCTTATAATAGTTTACATATTTAAATAAATTTCTAGTTTTCTTTATTCACACATTTTTATTACCACTGTAGTACAAGCCAATCCTAGAACCCAAGAAAGATTTATTTAGTAAATTTCAGATTCATATTTTTATCTTTTGTTATTGAATTATCATTTTATGGAAAGTAATTTATTCTGTTGCCGACTGTACTCCAAACTCCACATAGCCGATTTTCAATTTATGTTGATTTTAACCAGGTGAATGGGTATACATGAAAATAAAATAGGTTTTAAAGAATCTATATTTTTTTTCTTGAAACCTCAACTTTAAGAAGCTGTGGGCTATGTACAAAACATTTTTGGAAATTTTGGCCTTAATATAAAGTTTTTGAAAACGAAAGTATGTCTTATAAATCAAGTACCACAAAGCCCACAAAACTCAAGTTTGCTTTTTCTTTTATCTGCAAAGGCCAGGAAACCGAGACTTTTTGCCATTTTCCCAACATTTTATTAAAGTGGATATAGCCGGTTTTGCACGGATGCTCCTTAATTATGGTTAAAGTTTTATCTATTAGATTTAACCTTAACGGCTACGGTAAAAAAAATTCCCTTTACCGCTACAAAGTGGTATCGTTAAAATACATGGTTTTATTTAAAAAAAATTCATTATATTTAAAACAGACTTTTAATGAAACGAAAGGGTATACGAAAATATTAAAAAAAAAAAAAAAACTTTATTTCCAAAAATATAAAATAGTAAAAAGCAACCAAAACATAATAAGCCTACTAGAATAATGTATACATAATTTTGTTTTGACAACATTCTAAAAAAATTTTTGTAGAGCCCTGCTTTTTCTACAAGTAATGCACTAATATTGGGCCTCCCTTTTCAACATGGATGGACAAATATAACATAAACGGCGAACTTCAAGACGCTCTTCTTCATCTGTAATTTCACTTGATTCCGTATTCTTGTTCTTATTCAGTAGGTAATTGTTCTAAAGTGTACTTTAGTACCATCTAAAGTTGTTTTTTTTCTAAATAATATTTTTCTTCATCCTCAATAATATCTTCCGTTTTACAAAAACCTATCTTCTAAGTCGTCGTCACTATCCAAATTATCCAAATCAAGATCCGGCTCATCCAAAAGATTTTGTGCCCATTCATCAAATCTTGGGTCGTCTGGATTCATTTTAGACGGTCCTGTAATACTAGCCATGCTGAAATATAAATATTTTTCATATATGTTCAATTACAAAAGTAAAATAAGAAATAAAAAAACTTACCTAACCGCTACGCTATGGTTAGTAGACTAGGCTCGAGCGTTCCGCATGACTACCCTTGTGATTGTTTTCCTTAACCGTTAATTCGTATGCAATTTTTAATTTTAAAAAATCAGTGGTTTACCCCTGGTTTTAACAAATAAATTAAATCGGGTGCAATTGCGATAACGAAATAAAATTTATATAGGTCTTACAATAGCGTTATTAAAATCTTCTATTCCTATTCGTTTTATTTTCATATTCGTTTGTTGGCAAACGAAAAACCCAAAAACTCCTGGTGTTCATATTCATAAAAACTCCTGACATGCTAAGTCAAGCTCGATGTTGAAATTTGTCTATCCATAGGTTGAAATCCCTCTATCCATAAGTCCCCGCCTTTAGCAGATAGAACTTGCATTTATGCCAACTCTTGTGTCTAAGAAGACCGATACCACTATAGTGGTATATATGCAGGAAACCAACAGGTTCAAGGAATCATCCTTTAATAGAATTTCTGTCCTACAATATGTGTTCAAAAAAACTTGTGGGAAAACTTGCCCCGGTGGAAAAACCCTAATTGAATAATAATTCGAATAAATATTACTTTCAAACAAAATAAAGTGTACTTACGAAGTTAATGCGAATGCGGTTTTCTCAATAAATTTCACCAAACCCGCCCATAATATGACCAACAACGGCTGAAGAAACAATCCAAACACCGTTTATGTTACTTAGCAACTATCTAAGAGATAGGATGACTTATAAACTCAAAGATTATGGAAAATAAATTTAATTGGACTCACCATGCTACTTTAAAAAAACCCAAAAAGAGGCCATCCGCTTCTTTTGCTTTCACTACGTACGATAACTATTTGCACTTAATGGTGTGGGGTAACTAATTACTTAACAGATCGTAATATAGCTTCCTTTAGACTTCACAGATCGTCTTCCGGTAAAGACGCCATCGACCAAGTCTAGAACCTTCTAGAACAAACCAGAACCCCAAGTGCGCAGGTCGACGCGAGACAATCTTGCCAACTTATAAACTATCCATAATTAATAACCTCAAAATGAATTACAGCGAAGCAGCGGATAAAATAACAACATACTGTAATAACACTAGACTTAAATAACATAGTGAATTCAACCAAATAATTATTTAAAAAACAAGAATTGACGAAGAAACCCACGGATAACTGTGACGGATCATGAAATCGAATATGAAGTTTGTGACCTTGACAATAATTATTATTAATTATTTAACCATTTATAACAACAAGCCTTTAAGACCAAAAGAAAGACATAACATACAAGTAAGTAACCTTAATTATATTAAAACAACTTAATTAGTTAAGACACTTTGTCTATCCTAACTAAAACTATTCTAACCTAAAATTATATTTTGCCGACATAAAACGAAAAACAGACCTAGTACTGATTGTTTCAAACTTACAAAACTCACACATCTACAATTACTGACCTAAAATTATGCCCTACACGTATTGAGAAAATAATCATAAAGGTGAATACATCAGTAAATTAAAAATAAATCAAACCTTCCTCGGCTACCATAACAACTAAAAATAAATTAACCCTTTTAGGTTCCTTAAACCAAATTATACGTATACAGTGTTTACCTTAACTTGTTAATAATAATCCATGTAGCGTTACTATTTGTAACGTTACATGATGTTAAGAAATGAATGCAATAAGCAATAACCTAGCTTTTCATTATTGTGCTATTCGTAATTGTTGCTTATTTGTATAATTTTTTAATAAACAAATTCCGATTTTGCCTTGTTGTGCACAAGAAATTTTGAACGTTCAAGTTTCTGGGACCGTTTCAAATTTTTTGTGCCTTTTAGGCTAATGTTACATAATATTGTTTAGCGCAGCGGCAACCGCTCGAGTGCACGGTTTACTAAAATGGCAAAAAAGTTTCCAAAATTAAATAAGAAAAAACTAATATCTAAATAAATTAAGTATGCAAAATTTGAATTTGTTTATTAAAAAATTATATAAATAAGCAACAATTACGAATAGCACAACACTGAGCAGCTAGGTTATTGCTTCATTTCTTATAATCCTCAGAAATTTTAATTAATTTTGAATAAATAGTTACAAGATAATGATTTTTTAACCAAACAGTGCCTAAATGTTTAATCGAACATTCTTAATAAACAAATGAATTTTTATTCAACACCTATTTCATTTCTTAAGTTTAACCGGTGGGCGAAATTTTACTTCGCCCACGGGGTTAAGTTAGCTTTAAGATAAAATTGAAAAAAAGTGAGGTTAAAGTTGCTTGACAGCTGTTAGATTTCAGATAAAATATCAAATAAAATTGACTTAAAATTCCTTGTGGTAGTTGAATAAAATATTGACTAATGGTCAAAAGATCTCCTTTTTTGACCACTTGCGTTTTATCGCACTCGCTACGCTCGGGCGGCAAACTTTACGCTCAAGAAATCTTCTTATTTTTCAACGTCAAACATCGTAGGTTCATTTGAGAAATTTCTACTCTATTACCGCTATCTTCTTTAGTATCATTCTGATTATTTTAAACCTCTTAATATCAATATTCCGTTTTTTATTTAGGGTAGGTATTTATAAAGAATTTTTTTTTATTAACACTACTCTCTAAAAATGAATTAGTCAAAAATGACTAATTTAATGGTTATTAGTGGCTGCTTTTTCACTTGTACCATGGTTAATCATAAAATACCATGGTATCCCAAAATTTATCAGCCAATTCTTATGTAAAATTGTCCCCTGAATCCGAAAATACCGTCAAAAATTATGAAAGTTGAACAGTTTTTGAGATATAGTCAATTCCATATTAAATGGAAAATTGACTATATCTCAAAAACTGTTTTACTTTTTTAAATTTTGACAACATTTTCGGATTCAGGGGACAATTTTACATAAGAATTGGCTGATAAATTTTGGGATACCATGGTATTCCATGGTTAACCATGGTACAAGTGAAAAAACAGCCACTAATAACTACTAAATTAGTCATTTTTGACTAATTCATTTTTAGAGAGTAACATTTCCAGATCAAAAATTGAACTGATTTAACTGATTATGAGATATTGGCTAAAAATCTGTACAGCAGAATCCCCCAAATATTTAAAATAATAAAAGGGTTGCTTCTTTTGGTTTGTCCCTATTTCGGTTTTTACTTAAAATGATGTGCTAGGTCAAAACACTTTATTAAAATTAGTGAGAATCAGTACCAGTATCAGTAAAAGTGGATTTATCCGGTTTTGCATGTTTACTTCACAATTGTACTTGAGCTTTTGATGATTAAAATAAAACAATTTTTTTATAAAAATAGCTATATTTTTTCTATTTACACATTCTCAGTCATAAATATTAGGTATACATAATTAACTCTAGGTACACAAGGTGGGCTAAGCTCACTGGGCTAAAATGAAATCCCTGGTGTAAATCGACATTAATTTTTATTAAGGAAATTATCTGTCATGTACTTGAAAATCATAGAGCGTTACAAACCTCATGAACGCGTGGCTATTTTAAACATGTTTATTAAAAATAATTTATAGATAATGACGAGAAATTATGAATAATACAATCTATATTGACCTTAATGGAGTAATAAATAAACATACGCTTTTGGCGAATTGAGAATACACAAAATATACACGAGAGGCCTCTACATCCTCAAAGGGTGACAGTTTGGTGCGGAATTAGTGCAAAAAGGGACATGTTGGAGAACTTTGAGGTGGAATTGGAAGAGGAAGACCGGCAGAATATGTGGTTCCAGCAAGATGATGCTGCAGCACACAACAGAAAAACAATGAAGATTTTGAGGCGAATGTTTCCAGGTCGTGTGCTTCAATGAAAATGGCCGAAATTTGCTAGACATAATTTTTCAATTATGATGTAAATAATTTCCAAGGATTAAATTTAATTTTTGTGTTCAATAAAGTTATTAGTAAATACTATTAGGCACTATTTAAGCCCACCCTGTACAATTAAATGTTAAGTAAACTTAAACAAATTAATATCCTTCTACAAAAGTCTAAAATAATACGCAAACTAAATTAATTTATTAAATTTTACACCAATTGTGAGGTAGTTCTTTGAATTAATATCAATTTAAATTGTTATTCTTTACATTAGTTCTAAAAATATGCTGGCAAACGAAGATTTATTTTCTATTTAACTTAAGATTAAGTTAAAGCTTTAGATATTAGATTTAACAAACATAAATTATTTATATTGTTTATTAATACATGTCATAATTGAAAAATAAAAAAAATCATCAATACTCCTATTCTATAAAATTGGGTTTTTTTCGGTAAATAATGATAAACATTATAAATTCCCTGCATAACAACGGAAATAATGAACTCATTATTTACGTTGTTAGTCATCAGTGATTGGTCAATTTTATATTCACTGTGATTTAAACTAATCGGGTTTTAAATTGAGAAAAGGCGACTTTATTAACATTTAAAATTAGAAAAAAGTGAGGTTAACAATTTGACAGATCAGATTTAAAAGCATTTAATTATCTACTTATAAATAAATTATATTATTACATGAGACGCAAACCTCATCCTGCATTATCTCTCATATAATATAGTATAATATAGTGCACCAAATAATAACATTAAATACCTACTCAGTAAATTAAACAATGTTTTAATATTTTTTTAAATGCATTTTCATGTTCTATTCATGGACTAGATTTTTTAAACAAATTTTATTTTAAGTTTTTAACAATAAAGCACCTAACTTTCTTTTACTACCATATAATATGTCTATATAGTATATACATATAATATACATTTTGACATTCTGTTTATAACAGGCACACGAAAAAATAAAAGGACAAGAAAATGATAAGTAGAACTAAGTTAGTTGTCCACAGATTTCAACAGAATAATAAGTCTTTCAAAATTCCGTGTCCCCTATTGTACCTTTCATGATTGGTTTTCAACATTATCATCACTTAATAAAAAATTAGGTTTCTTAAGGTTATGTTGAAAACCAATCGATTCGGTTTTAGTGACTTGATATTCTTAGGAATGCACGTGTCTCGTTAAGGGTTTATGACCTTTTATATTTGTGTTCGCCTGTGTAATTTATTTAAAATAAAGTCCACGTATTTATATTTGAAATGCAACCGATTTTAATCCTAAACTATATGTACAGTTGATTGCATTTTTATAAAAAATAAAATAGTAAAGTCGACAAAAAAAATATAAGAAATAGAAGGCTCATGAAGTAAATATTAATATTAATTAATTTTTTAACTATAAAATTTTGTGAGAAAGATTTTTGACTAAATAAAAAAAATCTTTGGCAATAATTTATAAAAATAAATTAAAATTATGGTTAAGGTAATTTTCACTTAACAAAATTTGTTTGTCTTCATTACTATTTATAAGAAACTTATTTGGATTTACATATTACGAATAAAAGTAAATGTATTTTAACTTAACGCTACTAAAGGATCATAGTCTTTCGCTGATATTTTTTTAGATCTTACTTTCTTCTCTGGCAAAAGTTTACTCAGCTTTCGTTTTGATAACGATAGTTTTATCTTTGGAATTTCTTCATGATCTTGTTGTTCATGTATTGCTTCTTTATCAAGAAGTTCCAAACTTTCTATTATATTTTTTGGTTTTGGTTTATCTGCATTACCGTTATCTTCTCTGGTTTCATTCTGATTAATATAAACCACCACATAATGCGAGTAATCTCTTTTCTCATTTGGAGTATTTATATCAGCAAAATCTTTAAAATTGTCGAATTGTTCGTGTTGATAGGGCCGTGGATTTGGTACTCCACCATAGTGATACGAAGGTCTACCGTGGCCATTATGAAAGTATGAGTTAAAATCGTCATAATTCGAAGAAGCGTCCCGATCGTTATCATTGTAAAAAGTCCCTCCTTTAATCACACCAAAATTTCCCGACCCCAAAATTCCGTAATCATCCGGAGCAGCAGACGCCTGTCTGAAAGAATCGTCCTTGAAGCCATTAAATCTCAAAGGAGAATCGTAGTTGAGCTGCTGATGGTAAGGTGGCTGGGTTCTTTGGCTGTAAGCCCCTTCCTGCTGGAAATAAAAGGGTCGGGAATGACCTAATGGTTGGTTTTGATAAGGCGGGTACGATTCATCGGGGTATTGCTCTTGTGCATTTGAGGCAGACTGCTCTTCCTTATCGGCATCTACAAAAAGAATAAATGAATAAATTCCTTAAAAAGTTACATCACATAAAAAGATTGTTAACAATCATTTGGAAGCATCTTGTAAATACAAATATTTCCCATAATAACTGAATTGCGCGTCTAAATGTGACTTTCTCTTATTTGTTTTAAGTCAAACTTAAATCTTATCCGGCTTAATTAATTAATAGTAGGTATACACGCATAAAGTTATTAAGACAAGTCAAATGAACGTAACTTGCCTAAAGCAATATTTTTATACGTACTCATATTATATTCTTATATAAACTTAATTAATTCATTAATTTGGTTATAATTTTTATTTGCTACTAACTACACTCGTGTGCAAAAAAATTACTAACTCATATTATTGTTTAAATAGTGTATCCATAGCAAATAAACATGTATTATTAAAAAATATAGTTTTTAATGACACCAATTTGTTTATAATCGCACTTTTTTATATAGTTATAAGCATACAAATAATGCTTAACCAAAAATAAATTAAGAAAATAAATTTATAAAATTTTAGTTTTTTTCATTGTTTTTGTAATTTAAGTAAAAAATTAAAAACTGAAATGCACTTTCTTTTGTATTAGAATGAAAATTTAGTGAAAAAAAAACATTCTACAATTTTTACATGTTTTATCACGATTTTGGACCAAAAAAATAATTTCCCGTTGGAACTACCCCATTTGATTAAATATATATTTAAAAAACGAGTGGGCCACCTCAAGATGTTGAGTACATTTTTTTTTTATTTTGAGAAATTTTCTTTTTTTATAAGGTACAAATTCTACCACCAGCTTAGAAAAAAAACAAACATTTTGTTTTCAACCCACCCTAATATATATATATATATATATATATATCGCAAATAATAATATTCGCAAATAACTTTTTTATTTGATGTCGGATTTAAACGAATATTAAAGAATATTGTAGATAAATTAATGGACAATCGCTCACATTTTAAAAAAATACTAAAAAATAGACGTACGTTTATAATATACAGGTTTAAACAAAAATATGTTTTTTACAATAAGTTTAAGACACTCTGTAGATTGGCAAAACCGTATATTGTTCTAAATTAAGTTTTATTTATTAAGTCACATCTATTCTTAACAGTTTTGTTTTTGGTTCACCTCGATATATTTATTTTTGTGGAAAATATGGATTTAAAAAAAAACATTGCAATTTCCAATATTTAAAATGTGAGCGATTGTCCATTAATTTATCTACAATATTCTTTAATATTCGTTTAAATCCGACATCAAATAAAAAAGTTATTTGCAATTGAAATTCATCGAAAATTTGTGTGGATCGATTATTTTTATATATATTTAGCGACTACACAGAGCATGAAACAGTTACTGTCAAATGTCAATAGGTATAGGGGCTAAATTAAGTTCATATTCAGTTTCAGCGTTTGAAAAAAACTTGGAAATATTATGGTCTAATTCATGTCGAAGCCTACTTATTTTTTTGTGGGAGTGTGTAAGTTAAACCAAATATTGATTCTTAAAATAAATTAATCTCGCATGCCTAGGTAAAGTTAAAAAAAAATAAAATTGGGAGGGTAGGACTGATCAAAAACAAATAATTCTTGGTAGAAACCGATCAAAAACAAAGAAGTCACATGAAATCTGGTCATAAACAAACATGTCCATTCTGAAAAGTTTGAAATGTGCCAACTTCGGAGTAAACAAAACGAACTTGTAGTTGATTAGTTTAAAATATTGCAAAAAATGTTATGTAATTATTGTAACAGATTTTTAATAAATAAAGTAAATGTCACCCAAGTTGTCCAATTTTTCCGCTTGATCAATTTCAATTTGAAATATTTACCCAGATTTTCACATTTTATTACAAAATCTGGAGTAAATCATTGTTATGCTTTATTTTTCTTTGCAAGGTTACTTTTTATTTTTTTATTATGCTTTTAAATGGTTTTACCATTAAAATAATTATTATAATAATAAATTAACAATATATACTTTACTATTGCAAATAAAGAAATTTTAAAAATATAAAAATAAAGAGGAATATAATATGGATAATTTAAGATTACAATGTTAAAATATTAAATTAATAACCCAGATAATGCCACTTGTACTAACTTTTAATTATATATATTTATCCAAGCATCGCCATTGCCTTTTAGTTCTGTGTAAAATATTATTTACCTGTGTCATTTTCTTAAGAAGTGCAGCATGGATAATTGGAGATAGGTGAAAATTGTTTATTTATGTTTTTAAACTAATTATTTTTAGAAACCTGTAAAACTTCATGCATTGATGTAAGGGCTGAAGGATTTGGAGGAAGCTGAATTGCCAGACAATATTTTTATTTTTCCACCTGATAACGCAAACAGTAAAAATACATATAAATTCTCTGAAGATACGGTTGTCCATACCATTACTGGCAGGCAGCTGCGGATAGAAGCAGGAACACTGGAGAATTCAGAAGAGTTTTTGCTAGAATGTGATGGATACAAAAGCAAAGTTAATCTTCCATTATCAACGACTGAACACGCAGCAAAAACACTACCAAACAATTAAAATTAAAACAAAAAAGTTAAGAGAAAACGCATAAAAAAGGATATGTTGCCAAATTTACCTGCCTGGAATCCTATAATTGGTATACAAGTTGACGCCTGTTGAATTATTTTTTCAATATTTCGATGATACTTTATCGTCAATTATTCGAACTATAGTTATATGCGGTTTTACATACTCGTTTAGTTAAATTTACTGCAAATAAAATTGTGTGAATTGTTGTTTCATCCGTATTTTATTTTTGAGCGAGTATGTAGATATAACATTGAATGTCTTAAGAGAATTCCTTGAACACACATAATAAGCAATTACTAGAAAACTATTATCATTTATTATGCAACATTTGCATTGTAATGATGACGGAAATTTGAATCAACAGACAAATTTTTAAAAATTTACCTTTAATTGATAATTTTGCCTTAAGAATATCAGTCACGAAAGGATTCAGAAAGAGGCGCTGCAGCGCTGTGGGTCACAAAAACTCAATTCATGTGTGAGAAATAGTATCCCTTCAACCAAATTCTGCTTTCTTGATTAACATACGAAATAATTCATCATTTTTGTCATTAATTTTGTTGGATTATCTTCTAACAAATTATTTTTAGCAACTTTTATTAAATTGGTAGTTATAAAAGCAACCGTTCTTTTTAAAGAACAATAAAAAAAATTGACAATAGAATATTATAAAACGAGTGTTACAATGACCCTTATTGTGATACCGAGTTATTATGCCGCACGACCGCCAAGTGGAGTGCGGCAATAGTACTAATAGTATTATTTTACAAGAAAGGCACTTTATTTTAACGATTGTATGACATTTGACAACTGTCAACTAACTTAAAACTAACTTCAGCCCGTGACTAAAAACCTGTTGCTAACTTCAACCCGTGACTAAAGCGCCGTAAAGCCACAACTTGTCAATGTGTATTTAAAAGGTCACTTAGTGTCATGGAAACATGTACGGTAAAGGGCGTTTTAAAGGTGGGAGTAGAAAAAATATTTTACTTTCTATAATATACTATAAATTTTTAATATTTGGATTACATAAATTGTAAAATAGTCAATAAAATTGATTGATTTTATACGTGGAATCCCCAGCAACATTTAAATTATTTGAATTTGAAACGACCGCAATTTAAACTAATATTTAGCTTCAGCCTTGTTGTCTCGTTCTATTACAATAGTTGTCTCCTTCTCTCGTATTAGCATACGCGAGGCAGGCACGCCTACATCGAAGGAAATAAGCAGGTGTTGTGGCAACACTGTTGCGAAATTTTAGATAAATTATACTTCACACGTTTTTCAAAATTCAATAATAAATGGTATTATTTTTCTTATAATAAATTATATTTCTATTCTAAAATAAACATATTTTAACACTATCGCCATCTTGTAGCCATCACAGTAACCAATAAAATAAATACAGATTTCTTCTTTAGGTTCGTTTTGGTTATAAAATTCTGAACTGTTTAATGAACAAATCTGTGGTTATTTTGTTTATTCTTTTTCTATGAGTTTGTCTATTTTATGATTCTTTTTTAAGTGGTTTATTCTGTGGGTTTAGTGGGTAACTTGGTGATTTATGTGAATTTAGTCATTATGGATATTACGGTGAGAAATTGTACCGATTGTTCCCAGTTTCCCTTTTTCTCGGCAAGATGGTGTTCTATTATTAATTTAATGATTAGGGCTTGAACCTAATGGTTATATTAATAATGCTGAACTTTACCTCTAGACCTTCACGTGGTTCTAAAATATTAATTAGACAAAAATGAGGTTTATTTAATAAAATATATTTCATTGACAAAGTAGTTTTTTACTTAGTTTTAAGTATAGGTTGTGAACTGCGACATCAGTTTTTTTAAGTTGGGAGAGCGAAACCCTGCCTCTGCCTCACCAAAATGAAATGTCACGGGCCCCCACTGGACAAAAGTAAAAGGGTTGCAAACGTCTGAAATAAAAGATTAATTTGTACGTGCTAAGAAGCTCTTAGTAGCACTAAAAACGATGCGTCTAAGCACTCTTGGTAGCATGGAAATTTACAAAAATGTGCACTATAAAGTTTAAAAAAAAAGCTTTTTAAATAACAAATGTAGTGAAATATATTTATTATTTATTTATATTTAATTAAGTTAGCAATTTTCAGGTTAGTTGTGAAAGAAACACAAATATATATTTTTGTAACCAGAAGAAAAAACTATTAAAATATTCAAAAATATACAGCGTGTTTCTGTTGAATGATGAATTTTTGTCAACAAAATTACTTTTTTAAAATATTCAAGCCGGATTTTAAATTTTTTCGACATCTCTTCTAATATAGATTTTATATGGATGTAAATACAAATATGTGCCAATAATAAATATAAGAAAGTAAAAACCTTCTAAACTATTTAATCAACACAAGAAAATAAAACAATATCCATACATTTAAATGGATAACGTAAA